CCCCAAAACCCCAAAACCCCAAAACCCCAAAACCCCTAAATATACTTTATGTAGTAGTAGGCTATAATTCAAAAAATATATTTATTATCAGTTAGGACTTATCATAGTATAGCCATAATAAGCATTATTATTTATGACTTTTATTTAATTCTGCTATATTTAATAAAAAACAGGCAAAATCTGAAATGGAGGACAATAGTACTTACAACGCCAACTAATCATTCTAAGGAAAAGGAGTTGCGATGCATAATTTAGTTTGGTGGTGGTTCTAATTTTTGATGCTGGTACCTTCCAATATACTTATAGTCTACAAATGGTGGGAAAGACACGACTTTACTGACTGCGTTTACGAAGATGAGCTTATGATTGAATCTGAATTGGAAGAGTATTAAAAGAAAAGAGATAAAGGAAAAAAGATCCATTTGCTGAAGCGTCCTAAATATGATGATCTTTGGCTTCTCTATTCGTATGTTGCTATTTGGTACTATATACATGATTGTTTTTACTTGATAACATACTACAACTTTTTTGAAGAGCCTTGTGTGACAGGAATGGTTCTACATCATATAGGAGCTCTACCTGCTGTTTTCAGCATAGTTTATACATCTTATATTCCTTATTGGATAGGTTCAATCTATTCATTACATTGCGTTCTAATTGTGTGGCCTTACAACAAGATATTACATGTACCTTACGTTATGGCTCTAATCTTTATGCTTTACAATGTTTTATTTACAAAACCATTCACTCAGGCAAAGCCATTTAGAAGAATAGTTAAAATAGTTCCTTTGCTATCGGTAGGTTTATTATTCATATCTCTGAATGGATGTGATACTAATGATTTGATATATTGAAATATACTGGTGCAAATTATCAATATCCACGATAAGATAGTTGTCTAAGCGTTAGCAAAGCTTTTTTGATTCTTGCAACTACTTTTAACTCTTTAATTGTATAATTTGTTTGCAATTCCTAAATCGAATATCATTTATCTAAATTACTTCATAAGAAAGCATTCCAACCCAACATAAGGGGTTTTGGGGTTTTGGGGTTTTGGGG